GGGTCTGTTCAAGCAACGTTTAATAATTAAAAACAGTTTAAGGATTATTTTGTAATGTTTTGCATAATAGCCTCTCCGTGATGCTGTAACTGGTAACACATGAACGAGACCCTACTAACTACCTAGTAATCATATACGGCGAGATGCTACAATCCATACACATCATTAATCTGCGGGGAGGTAAGTTCTCTATGGCAAAACAGAATGGTTGGGATGTCTACTAAATCAATCTAGGGGTGTGGAAATTATTTCTGCCGTGTATGTAATTTTCAAAACTCATCCCATTTGATAACATGTTGTCATTCCATCTGTATATCACATACGAGTTTGTTAGGTATACGATTATGTTAGCAATTAGTCTTGGTAATAAAAATAAGTACAGTTGCTGTAAATTAAATGACATTAATTATAGTCTGGTGTAAAAACCGTATGCTATGTTTTCTGTTCAAAAATTGAGCCTTAATAACCAATCAAGATGAAAGAAGGCAACTCATTGCCCGGCGCCTTTGAAGTGTCAGTAACACACTGCGATAAAAAGCGACTAATTTTCTTGCGTTTTGCAAGCCTGAAATCTACGTTACGATCAAGAGTAGGCCCAAAGCTCGTGTTTGTATACAATGTGTCAGATTGGTGTGTTGGTTATTAAAGCAATGGATGTTTAACGGTAGGGCTTTATGTAAGTTTGTCAGCAATAGAAATGTGTGTTGTAGGACCATAACAATATTTACCAAAATATTCATTATCTATATTTACCTTTTGATAGGGTAGTTATGCTTTATTTTGTCATTTCAAACAGTTTTTGAACAGCAAATCAAGTGTTGACAAAACGAAATTGATGACGTCACAATAGAGAATGATGACGTCACAATAGAGAATGATGACGTTATAATAGCAAATGTTGACATAGTCTCATAACTACATTTGTCTTCGCAATGCATTACAATGGAAGGATGTAGAGCAAATGTAAATATATGTTTGTGAGGTTTGACGTATTATATAGAATAATATTTATATATAAAAACGTTAACAGACAAGGATAAAATAGGAACTAAAGCCGTAAATGTTAACCACGAATCGAGAAGATCCCATGACAGAACGGAAAACTTTAGGAACTCACACACAAATCAAAGCAATGGTAGGGGTTAGTTCGACAACATTCTTGCTAAAACTTCTTAATGTTTAGTGAATTCGTTATCTACATAAAACCTAAGGATATTTTATATATTTTCCGAGTCTGACAATACATTGTTCAGTATTTATATGCAGCTCTATTAAATATCTCCATACATGTTTTATATAAACATGGTTTGCTTGCTTTTTTTATTTGTATTTTTGTCGGTCCATTTTATTCACAGATTCGCTTTAATGGTCAATTAAGTAGGCTATGTTATTCTCAGATTTCAATTCTACTTTCAATGGAACGTAGGGCTACGGTACGGATGCATTATTTTACTGTTAATTTCGCGGGTTGTATTTATTCGAGGAAAAAAAAGGCACCGCGAAAATCTTATCAATAAAACTAGGACTCGGCTAAAGCACCAGCTATACAATATACTTAAGAATATGTCTAATGCACATACATGCATAATTCAAATATGTGTCCTATTTAATCTTTGAAAATTAATCAAAATGAAAAACAAAAACCATTTAAGATGAGAGAACTTTCCACGATAGGTTGTGAGGCACCGATGTGAAAGTAGGCAACGGTTTTACTCGAGGTGTCGAAAACGCTTTTCGAACTTCCAAACGGAATATTGAATTATATAGTTGGACCATGTTTATTTCAAAGCAGTCATTGACGAAATCATTCATTGTCAACTTTCCGATTAAAAGCATTTTCGTATATTTTAAATGAAAATAAGAAGGACAACAGGCCTGATGGAAATAAAATACTAAAATCTTGAATGCGGGCAGTCGCAACTGTGTTTAAAATATAAATATGTATATTTGTGATAATAAACCGTGCAAACGGATAGATTGTAATTTAGGATATAAGTATGGATATTGAGATGTTTGTATATTTCATATTGCTTATCCGGCATATCCCCCCTACTGCTACAGATATAGGGGATCATGAAACTCCCTTTCATCTCAAATGAAATAAGATTTTTAAAAGGCTCGGGAGAAATATTGCAGATAGTTTGAAATGATTATCTTTATAATAGAAAGAATAAAGTTTTGTATATATATTTAATACCATTTGTGTTGTCGATGGCGATTCCGCGTGTGATCGTTTCAAGAGGTTTTAGATTTCAAACGAAAACTTTACATTAAATAAGACAAAATAATATTATCTATGACTAATGCAGTATATTTTAATAAGCAAGTTCTTGAAGTCGAAAGATTTACAGATATAGAAAAATCGGTAGATTCAATAAAACCCTTTTTGAGGAATATGAAAAAGGAATCATGAATTGTCAAAAGTTTTATTGCAAAACTGAATCAGTACGGTTAAGTTATCAAACAGCACAGAGAAACGAGAAGAAAATGATAACAATACAACATGACTTCTTAAAAAGTAAAGTTTTTCATTTATCAATATTGAAAACCTGAAGCATCAACCTAATGCGTCTTACATTTTATTCGATCGAGAATGTCAAATGTGTGTCAAAAGTGAAAACAAATATGTTCTATATTGTCAGAAATGCATCCTTTTATTCAGTTTGTTAAAGACTGAAGTTATGTTTGAAATAAAATGGGTTTTTTTCCAGACTGAAGTACAATTTTAAAATATTTCACTCAACCCTATCTACAAAACGAATATATCTGTTGAATATTCACTTTACTAATAGTGAGCATATCCAATTTATTCTTACCAAGACTCAATATAAGATTTTTAAATAGTGCTGATATTCAATTCACTTTGACCTAGACTCAATTTGTTTTTAAATAATGAGAATATTCATTTCACTGACCTAGACCCTAATTGTCTTAACTGATAAAAGCTATTATTACAACTAAGTGTAGCCCTTTCCAAAAATAATGTCACAGCATCAACTAAAATTCAAACACAGCAACAAGACTCATGAATAAATCAAAACGTCACGTGTACCACATCGTCAACACAAACGGGAACACAATCGGGAACCGGCGGCACTTTCCGTAAACAAGAAAATCCTCGATGGAGGAAACACATTAATGTACTAGTATGTTTTTTACACTGAATCACACGTTTCATTGGTCTTTGTCAGTGGTTATGTTTTAATTTTGGTTAAATAAAATTGTAATTGCTAGTGTTAAGGCAGGTTGTATAATTGGCCCGTTGACGATAATTAAGAATATTAATTAAAACAAAATATGTACAGAGAACACAAGAATCTGAGAACTATGGAAATACCAAACCAAAAGGAATAACATAATGCACCTTAGCAAAGAATCGAAGATAAACATAGACAATTTGGAGAGTGAGCGCGTTCTTCAATAACGTGTCCTGGAAGTCTGTCGGTCAATAGCATCTCAAGGTAGAACCGATTAAAATGTTATGTAAGTTATAATAATAATAATTATATATTTAACATTTGATATAGCGCCCTATCTAGCTAACATAAGCCACTCTAAAGCGCTTTACAGTACATAGATATACAATTTTATACAGTCAATACAATTAGAATATATATTAATCAATACAATATTGAGGAGGAATTTGCAGGAGCTGCCTTATCAGGCGCTAACTACTAGTCCTATGACAAGTTATGGTATACAAAAGAAAAGAAATGTAGTCCGGATGACGATTTATTGTATTAATCAGACAATTTGATAACTCAAATATCAAGAGAATACCAAAGTGCCAACAAAACCGTAAGTCGAACTCAAAATGTATAAAACAAGGGCAAAATAATGAACAAAAGAAAGACTTGAATTGAGGTTTTTGAAAAAGTACAAAGATACTAGCACCAGGTGTTCTCCGGAAAGGTACATGTCTTTACTTCATTGACGACACTCGTCTGGGCCAAATGCAAGTAATGTTACGTTCTCATAACGAGAACTGGGGTAATTACAGACAAACAAAAAAGGGACACTAACGAGCAAATAAAAAATATCGACCTTTATATCACCCAAAAAAATCTTATAACCAAATTAAAAGATCACCCTGTATTTTCAGCAGTCGATGTAAACATCGCCGGAAGGGGAAACAGGGATGTTACTTTCAAGAAAGAGAAAGTTCACGATCGGAAAATCAAGACAATTATATTGTATACTGCGGAATTATACGATATCACTCGGATTTAATTTATGTTGATATGATATACCAAAGGCTATTGTTTAAACCAAGATTAATGTAGATATTGTTTCTCTTTTAAATAAACCCACTTATATTTCGAACAAAAAAGAGAAATAATGAATTAAATGAACCAAAGCACTTACATGAAGTCCCTCAATTTCCCTCTATGATTTCGGAAATAGTAACAACTCTTTAATGTTATTTAAAAAAAAGTCATCATACATTTAAGATTTTGGTATATATTGATCTTACAATAATTCAGACCTATATTACGAGATATCTATTTTTTCGTTCAAAGTGCGTAACAAGTTTTAACCTCGCAATTACAGAAACAGAGAGAGAGAGAGAGACAGAGAGAGACAGAAAGACAGAAGGGGAACAGCCATCTCGTAGCCTTTATCTGTCAATCTTTAAGTGCCTCTAACTGCGATAGGTTGGTCTCTCAGTATCAGCTCTATGATCTGGGATGACTTTGCCACTAAACACTTTAGAAGGAAGCGATGGAGGCACCAGACCTCATGTTTTCGTGCCATCCCTAAGTCTCGGTAGCTGTGAGAGGGGTGGGGGCTACACGCGTTTTATCGCGGTATTCTGTAACCTTTATCGTTTCTGCTAAGACCACTAACTACCCCACAAAGGCATTCCTAACTACAAAGACGCGATTTATACTGATCTTGTGTCACGTGATCAGCTACTCGAATCACCTGTACACCGTGTCGGTATGCCCCTTTGATGTTTTAAATCCAATTATTTGTGTGTATAAACTCCCTGCAAGACGATTACTTTCCCGCCCTCCACAACCCAGCTAATACCAACATATAATCGCTACTATTATCTGTGTCAACAAACCAAGCTTTAGAACTACGTAGACTGAATGGATTTAATTTCCTTTTAAACTACCCGGCTATTGATTCCAATTGGTTGGCGGCGAACTTCAAAGGGACGGCAAACTTACGCGATTGGCGGGCGGTAATTCCAAAGAGGTTTCAGTATGGGATAGAAATCGGAATCTTCTCAAGAAAAACGTTAACTTTATAAAGAACTTTAACAGTGGAGGGTGGAGATCTGTGTGCGACTTAACACTTCTCAGTCAATGTATCATACTTGACGGATATTACTAGCAGTACGCAGGAGTGTTCACAGAGATTTTTACGTAAGGCGACAAAAAACGAGTCTAGTTGGAAGTACTGTATAGCTCCTTCTGTAGGACCACCGTCGTAGATCGGATGTTTAAACTAAGATATCTGGCGGTCTGTAACTACTCGAAACCAACATGGCAACAGCTATAGCCGCTCCACGTCCTTTACACTTTCACCAGGTAAGCTTGTCAAAATGAAAATAATAATGCTTATTTAATGAGAATGATATGTTGGATAGAAGACCAACCCTCCACATGACTCTGCAAAGCTTATGGTGTATGGCCTTTAGTTTTGGTGTCTCCTGTTCGTGCACTTGTCTGTCATTTCATTTTTTCTTCTATTCTTTCGTGCTGACAATATTGTTAGTTTCTATTTGTTTAACATTGTTGTACTGTAATTTATTTCTGTTCTTTCGTGCTGACATTATTGTTAGTTTTTATTTATTCAACATTGTATGTACTGTAATATAGTCTGTATCATTAAACTTAACCGGGTAATAAACTAATTTGCTTAAAGACACATTAAGGTGGTATCTTGTTTTGTTTAGAAATAACATATGTAAGTTCGCTGATTCATAATTCTCATCAACATAATTAATTTGGCGTTGACAGAAATGTGATAGACGTTTTGTCTTGATGAGGAATGAAACACGATACATACAGATGAAGCTGCATTTGTTTATGCATTTCTTATTTCGTGTTATAATATTTAGTTTTCCTTATTTTTTATCAACACAAATATGACTGTTATATTATACGTTTATTCTAGAAATTGATTGAGTCAAGCCAGTGTTAGCAAACGTGTTTCTACTCATGAATCACATCCAGTTTGATTTTAATACAATATGGGTGAAAAACTTCTTACATCTGAAATGTTAATAAAATATGGTGCTCGATTATTACATTTTGAATAGTAAATAATTTAGGAGAAGTTATAGAAACTCTTTTCTTAGTACATATTTACACGTGAATTAAGCAGTGGTGATGGAAATTTACTGTCTATAAACAAACACTATTTATACAAATTTCAAACAAAACCTGTCTTTATCGACATCTGATTTTACCGACACCTTATGATAAGTACGTCTGCAAAATATGACAGGATTATTTGACTGGTTTAATCCGTATTCACCGACACCCTGTAGTATGTGAAAAGAAATTAGTCCCTCGTGATGTCGGCAAAGACATGTTTCACAGTATAATGAATGCTATACTGTTTTACCATGGTTTATACATTTGTATTAGTCTGAGGGAAATCTATGCAAGTTACATAAAACTGAATACAGTCGCTCTCCACGGTAGAGATATTACTCGTGGTTGTTCTAGTCTTTGTCGTTACAATGGATTCGCTCGTACCGTGGAGAAAAGGGCGAACATTTAACTGTATATTACATATTTCTACTATCTCTGTCAGACTATCGGGATAATTTAACCGGTACATTAAAGGACGAATATATATTTCAATGTTTGACGAAACGTTACAGAAATACGCTAATCAGGATTTTTTTCTCTGTTACAAATTTGTCATAACGCGTTACGTTACTGTTAATCATCGCGTCCGTGATGACAAGCAAATATTTCATTGACAGGTCATCCCTTTTTATTTTGTAAAAAAAAGGACTCTATTCATGAATTATTTCTGTTTAATATAAATATATATCATAACCCCCTATGAAGGCTTTCCTCCCTATATCTAGGACTTACGGGAGACAGATATGTCGTGATAGAAGTCCTGAGCCCGTCTTCATAAAACCGTTCTCATGCTCAAGCATGGATTCTGTGCTCAAACCAGTATTGTTGTTACTCGCTTAAATCATTAAGTCAAATGTAAACATTGAAAATAGTATTCGGCTCTAAGTATCTTCAAATGTTTTCCTAATCATAGACAAAGTAAGATTTTTTATTCGTTTATAACCAGAACAAGAAATTAGGCTTGAGCACAAAAGCCTTGAGAACGACTTCATGAACACAGGCTCGGGACATCTGATCCAACTGGAGCATATGAGGGTATGTGGTAACCATGACTTAATCAAGAGGCTGACGTATCAAGTCTAATAATTATAATGACAACAAAATATAAAAAAGCAATACAATTCTAAACAAGAGTTCCAATGGAACAAGAATCATGAAACGTACGCGTGTCTTGTTAAAATACAGGTGAAAAAAACATCTGTCTTGTTTACTTAAGCAATTAAGGAATTAGCCTTGATTCAACTATCATATTTTAATTCCAATGATTCGACTATTATCAAATTATCTTTATCAACTTACATAATTTCTACTGACGCAATTTTAATTTAAACATTAAAATAAATATTATAAATAAATAAAAGTAATAAATAAAATCTGCTTAACGACGATAATTATTTTTTCTTGACTTTGTTTTACGATGTTTATTTCGAATACCAGAATGCTATGTTTTGTTTTCAGTAATCAATAAGTCATATCAAAGATTCAAATTGGAGCGTTATGTATATGATGATTGAAACCAAAATCAAATTATAGACTGACTGTTGTCATGGTGTTCATAGTCAAATTTATGGACCCTATGAGGGAGTCCATAGCATCTTCGTGCAAGTTAATACCCTTCAAACCTTGGTGACTCTGATTCACCGGAAATCATTAGTTTGATTCTAATCCGAATCATGATTTTTATCAGAATCATTACAAGCGGTTGTTATCTCAATAGCAGTATAGAGGACGAAATTGTTTCAATGGCTGACAGATAGATTGTTATCTTATGTTTTTGAGTTTCAATTTGTGAAAAGGAAATACCCGTTCTGGAGTTTTAAAAGATCATCATTAAATATATAGCAAATAGTGTTACACACACATTCTTCAAATATCTAATCATATTTCCTACTTTTGTGCGACAAAACCTCCTTTTCATTTTTTTTTTAAATATTCCTATCTATCTAAAAGGTTTCCAAAATAGGAAATAGGTCATTTATGCAATGATTGGTGGTAATTAATCAAAATCAAAATATGAAGTAGAAACTACTACATTTGTATTTTCGCGAACACTTAATTTTGTTTATTTCCCGAACCATACATGTAGGTCTTATTTAAGAATACAAGACAAGACTCACAATTGAGATAATAAAATTTCAATATTGATAGTTAGCTATGTAATAAATATTGGTGGAAGATTTAGGTTCGTGTATGAGGGTCACCGCTCGTGAAAAAAAAATGTTTTTCACAAAATTCATGAGTTTGGCTATTTTAACATGATTCGAAGATCTAATTACAGTCTTCATCAACGGTTATTTTATTCGTTTATACGTTTATATGATAACAGATCTACATGTGATGACTGCCAAAATGACAACAGATTAGGTCTCCTATGCCACTACGTGTAAACAAATACGTGTATGATATTAGAGATAATTTAATTAACCAGATTTGTTTATTAGATAATTAGTATAACTACTATCAATTACGTATACTCCGTCTCTGGTGGCCTAAATAATCCGTTGATCTGATAAATAGGGGGAGGAGCAGATTAATGACCCGTGTTAAGTGCTTCATTGTGCATTTACAAGCATGACATGATAGGCGTTAGGAGGGACCACAGGGTGGGGATCACATGGTTGTGTTTTCTGTTTGAGGGAGGGATTTATTTAACCATAAATCCCTGTAGAAACAATATGATATAAGTTCAAAGAAAGTTCGTTGTTGGTGGGCCAATCAATTAATTAATTTTGGACTCATCAATAGAGAGACGAGACAACATGTCTTTATTGTAATTCCTTAACTATCGCTAGCGAAATGTCGATAATATTTTGATTAAAGTCAAATAACCGCACTCAGATAGTTTCGAAACACAAAATGAATAAGCTTTGGAGCTTTGTTAGAAAACAAATCGTGTTGTATATATCTTTAATCTAACTATACTTTTGAGAATCTGAAGCCTGGATTTCAGTGTTAATTCTATAGTTGTGAATAACGATATCATTAAAGGCGGAGCACCAGTCGAACCATGACAAACTGCCCCTGTAAGGGCTTCCTGTACAGGTGGACCCTAGGTAATCAATGATCAACAATTCACGATGATAGCAAAGGGGAGGGAGTCTTCACTGATCCGAGGCGTCTTGCCCAATACTTAGCTGTTTATGATAGTCTACTTCACTGGTGGTCTTACAGGGGATGAATGGTTGAAATTTCCGTAAAACTTTAAGCGTCATTATTCAAAATCAACGTATATGTTCTAGCCCATTAAAACTGTGTTGGAAAAAGATTATATTCTTCGCCTTCAGCAGGACAAGATGGCCACACTCGTAGATGTGTAATATAATAAGACTTGAAAACGTTTTGAGTGTCAACATTCATGTGTTTTTATATTTATATGTATCGTTTATTCTATTGTAATCTTTCTATTGACCTACACAGGGTACGTATCGTATTGTATGGTATATCCGTATCAAAGCTAGCTCGGCATCACCTGTGTCATACAGATATGTTACACCACGATTACAGGTAGACGGAGCACCTGTGTGGACCAGTTGATGGCCGTATAAAGTACATTTGTCAATGATAAACTGGTGTAAACAACATAATAAAATATATCAGCATTTCGACTTTTTCAGTCATAAAATGAAAAATATACTATAACGTCAAAACACAAACATACATTTAAAATGATAGGAGAGATAGTATATTGTTAAAAACAAGAGATGGAGACGCCAAAACTAAATAAAAACATTCATAAAGCCACACAAATAAGCCAGTGATGGCCATGCGTAAGCGTTTCTTGTCGGGTTTCTTGTCCCCAATATGTGGCATTATTTAGGTCATCCGTAAAATTAAGAAAACGAAAGATAAAAAAAGGGAAATTTAAAGTTACTGTTGTAAAAAGAAATACTTCAGCATTTTGTATTAAAGTTTTAAATTTTACACAATGCACGTATCAGAAGTGTTGAAACGTTGCGACACGTTTTATACATGTATTGCTTGTGTAAAAAGTAAAGCTTTGCTACATACCTAATTTCAAACCTATGAACCTTGTTTAATACATTTTAACATTCTCCATAAGGGAAAGTGGACAGGCAGTATAACAAATTGTCGAAGGAAATAAAGATATATTATGTAAGATATGCGGCTACAGTCTATCTTTCATTGACAATGCTTAATTGAATTTTATTTACTGTTGTGTATGGTGTAAACGGGAATTGCCAAAAAGG